GTGGCGGGCCGGCCCGCTATTTGGCCCGGCGGGTTGGCGGGCTTGGAAGGGCGGGCTTGGCGGGCTGGCGGGTTGAAATGCTTGGCCCGGCCGGCCAATTTTTGGCGGGCCAACGGGCCGGCCCGCGGGCCATGGCCCACTTTGCCATCTCTAATATTTATAGTGATTATGCAAGAGATGTGGACAACAGAAAGAGTACTTCAGAGTATGTCTTTCTGCTCAAAAGGCAGCAATTTGTTGGAGTTCAAAGAAACAGGCCATCATCTAATTATCCTCTACAGAAGCTGAATATGTGGCAGCAACCTCATGTGCTTGCCACTGTGTTTGGGTGAAGGGAGTTCTGGAACAGATTGGAGTTAAAAATTGAGTGTATTGATATTTTTTGTGACAGCAATTCATCAATCAAGCTCTCTAAATCCTGTGATGCATCGGAGCCATATTGATGTTAGATATCATTATTTACGTGATCTTTCAAGTCAGGGAGTGGTGAAGTTAGTTTTTTGTGGAACACAGGTTGCAGACATTATGACAAAGCCAATGAAGTTGGATCAGTTTGTGAAATTTCGGAGGCTACTAGGAGTACAACCACTTGAAGATTAAGCGGTATGCTCAACTCAGTTTAAGGGGAGGAATTTGTTGGAATATTGATTAGAAAATAGACTTTGCTGAAATATTAGTCTCTTAGTTTGTTTACGTTTAATAAGCTGGCTTTTAAAAGCTGGATAAGTATTTGAATTATTTTAGTTTGTTAGGTTTGTTATTCCTAACTTTTCTCTCAGGTTATTTACGTTGCAATTGTAAGGCTTATTTAAAGCCATCAAAGTTTGCATTTTACAATAAGAAAGGACCCCATTTTATCGATGGTGTTAAAAGTTCCTATCACTACTTTCAAAACCCACAACATCTAGATTTTTGGAGTCCCTGACTGCAATTGAGGTCACATCGTCCACATTTGTCCACAATTTCTCAAAATAACAACAAATGCTATGCAACGAAACCGCAAGCTCTACAACGATTTAAAATATTAATAAAGGCTGACAAGGATCTTACGTGAAGGTTTTACAAAAAATATCAGATAGAAGTAACTGAAAATAAATAAGTTGAGACGAGTGCTACTGCAAAACACACAATCAAAATGTACAGTGACGATCCGTAAATTTCACTCTCTCCAATCGTTATTCCTTGTGCGAACTTTCTCTAATTAGTAGGAATTGTCGCTAACATACAAGTGTGAATTAAAAGAAACGTGAAATTAAAAAACGAAATGAACAACACAAGCAACAAGATCACTAGCGAAAAAATTGAAAGTAGCAGTTCCAGTGATTTCAAGCAAAATCACTGTAACATTTCCACAATACACAGAAACACGATGATCAGCAAAGCCTCCAAAACGACAATCAAAATCAACAGGAGCACAAACAATACAAAGCATTGAAAAGAAAAAGCTAACAACAAGTGTAAAACATCAGCTAAATTAGATGCTTATTGCTTAGAAAGAAGAATCGGTTACCTAGTTGGAATACAACAATCCGTTTCAAATTTCATGGGCGAAAACGGTGCAAGCGGCACGAAGAAGTTCGTGCTTTGTTTTCTGAACTTCCTGTGAAACCAAAGGGAGAGGAATCGAGGAATTAGATAGAAAGAAGAGTATAGGATTAGATAGAAGAAGATTCGAGAAACAGCGAGTTACCGTCTCAGGAGCTTGGTGATGGTGGAAAAAGAGTAGCCATTCTGAAGTGTAGGGTGTGTGCCTTCGCAACAAAAGAATGGAGAAAAGTGTGAACGGGTGAGAGATATGGAACGAATAAAACGCGGTTCCTTTTATTTGATTTCCCTATTGGCTCAAAAAAGTTGCAATGCTTCCTAATTATTAATTGAGTTAATCACTCTTATAATATTTTTTTTATAACTAATCATATCTTTTAATAATAATATATATTTTTTTTTTTTTGGTAAAGTATGAAATTAAAAACAACAAAGAAGTTCAAGACATAGAGTCTCTCCCTAATGGTAGGGGGATAAAATCTGGAGGACTTCTCCAAAATACAGTGGAACCTAGGTTTCGTACACCCTAACTAGCAAGTGTATGGGCTACTGAATTTATCTCTCTAGGGATATAGGTTACGTACACTACCCAGTCCTGAGCTAACATTCGCTTAACACGACGAATGACATCATAGTGTTTATGTAGGTAGTCCCTATCCGGTGACTGATCTTGCAGCATTGTAACAGCTCCCAGGCAATCACATTCACAGTTCACTTTCCGAAATCCTCCTTCCCAACAAAGCAATAAACCCTCCTCCAAGGCCAACAACTCCGCACCTAACGCATCTCCCTGTGAAGCCCCACGCGAAAAGCTCCCTCGTCACATACCGACCCAATCACGAATTTAAAATTTTTGATTAATTACTAATATAAATTTTTTTATAAATAATAATATATGAATGATTAACTCTTATTATTTAAATTAAATTAATTTTTTTAAAGATGATATCTAATAGTAATCGTTATTTAAAAAGTGAGCCGCTAAAACTATATGTAGTAGTGTAGTACTAGCAAATTTAGTTTTTTATTTTATGGATTTGGATCTATGAGTTAGTTGGATCCTTTCGCCTATGTTTGGACTTTGGAGGGTATGACTATCTGATCCAGGCCCAATAAATCAAATATATGATCCAGGATGTTTCTAATAAAATTAGAAATTAATAAGATAGAAGGTTGAATAAAAAGTAATAATCTTGAATGTTACTTAATAATCAAATATATTTTTGTTTTTTTTCTTCTTTCCTATTCATAAAAAAATAGAAACCATTGATCAATAAATGATATGATAAAAAGGGAGCATCCTTTTCTTCTTTTAATAGGACCATTGTATTATGGTAAAATTAGTGTTTGAAAACTTCGTTTTAGATAATCTTAATTTTATATAATTAGTATTTTAGTAGGATAAATTTTTATTTTATATAAAATAAAATGAATAAATGTTTTTACATATAAAATTATATTATAATCAAAATTTGTAACAAATAATTTTTTATCATATAAATTATATTTTACTTTTATGACAAATAATTTATATCATGATACAAAATTATTTTTAGTTATTAATAATATATTTTAAAAATATTATAATATAATTTAAAAATAAAAAATAACAAACTAAAAGAGATAAAAAGTTAATAAGAATTTTTAAAATCACTATCTTTAAAAAAAATAAAAATAAAAAGATAAAAATGTTATCGTTGACCAATATTTCAACTAATGAGGCCTTTCATGTGTTCGGTTGGCACTGCTGTTTTATGTGTTATTGTCTTAATTAATCTAGTTTCATTATTTTGAACATAAAAAAAAAAAAAACAATACATAGGCGATAATTACCTTCATTATTTATAATTATTTTAATTTGTTATATATATACAACTCAAAAATACATTATAAAATTAAAGAGATAATTTTTGGTTGTCACAAATTTATGTAAAAAAAAAAAAAATTCCTTGTTGATTTATGTGAGTTGGAAATTTTTGTTACGTTATCACTTTTGGGTGATTGTTTCTCATCCTTCTCTTGGCATATTTCATTTTCGCTAGCTCAACTTGCATATGATTAGGACTAGGGCATTCTCATGTCTCTACTTAAAATAATAACATTGATTTGAATTATAAGCTTTTGTTTTCTGACAATGTTATCATTTTTATTATTAATTTTAATTCGAAAATTCTGCATAGTTCAACGAAACATCACATTCCTTGCACGTTTTGTACCTGATGAAGAGCCAACACGACCATTGGGGCATGTCAAAAACTGATTAAGAAACATTTCCACCTTCACCTATATACGTTTGAACCTAAAATGGAATTTCGTGATTCTGAAATAAACAGATCTGACATATGTACATCTAAAAAGTAGTGTAAATGGACCACCAAACACAAGAGTTGCATTAAATGTTTAGAATAGTTTAATTTGTTACCTATATATATATCTAACTCGTGTCGAATTATCTTTCTTTCTTAAAAATAAATACAATACATATTATCTTTAAAAAAAAAAAAAATAGTGTATGAGTGTTTTGATTTAGATTCCCTTTTGCTATTTGTTATAGATAAGATGAAATTGTCTTTTAGAAAATAAAAATGCAAATTTATCATAGTGACTAGGGTATTGGATGTAGAATCTATTAATCATTTTCGCTCTTCTATCAACTTTAGGTAACCATTCAATTATTTTTAACGAGAGCAACATATATTATTAGAAAACCATGTGCTCTCTCGTGTATGAATGTCTTTTATTTTTCCAAAGGTTTAGATTAGGAGAATACACTTCTTGAAAGACCAAAACTAGAGAAAATACAAGTGGTTATATTCCCCTCCGATTCCACACACCACTACTTATGGTTCTAATTTAATATATGGTTGGCAAAAATATTTGTGACCAACATTAATGTTTTTCAAGTTTTTGCTATCACACGAGTTAGTTAATCTCCAACCTTTCAGTTAAAAGTTACTATAGATTGTTTTATTAATTTCAAGAATAGGAAAAGCACTAGTAAATAATTTCTCAATTCCATAAATTGTTGTATCTGTATAACAATACAATTATACAACATTTATTTGTGCCATTGAAAAGCCAATTCACTAGTGGTGTACAATCTAGTTTAATTTGTTTGTTGTACTTAGGCATGATGACTTTCTTGAGCCATAACCTCTTCATTATTATTAGCCTTTGATGAACGAAGAGAATATTGACTTGCCATCACTGCATCATCCAATGTTAGATAGAATGACTCCTTCCCAATTTTGTCAACAAATTTGGATGCTAAAAGCTTCTCCATCACCTCCAGCCTCGGGTTAACAAACAAAACCTACACAATATATAAGAAAAAAAAATTACTTAAACTCTTGATTCTTTCAGATTCATTTACATATATAAAATCAAATTTGGAGGATACTTGAAATTCATGGGGTACCTTAATTGCATTCTTTCCCAATATTTTAACTGTCTCATCCAATCCTTTAATAGCAGTTGTGTCAATGGATGTCACTCCTGTAAAAAAAAAAAGCATTTAAAATTGGGGAAATTTTATGCATGAGCATATTAACCACCAATTTTTTTTCATATATAAACTTAATATAATCCAACAGAATTCTTTATAACGCATATTATAAATTTTATATTACTTAAAATTGAGTTAGACTTATATTCACATTTTAATAAATATGTAATTTTTTTTGTTCTATTTTTTACCTGATAATTCGAGTACGACGTGTTCAACAACATCTCCTGTAGAACTTTGCTCACTTCGAATATACCTCATAATCCTATTGCAAATTTTCAGAAATTTAGAAATAATGTTCAATTGGGATCCACAGGGATTGTTTTTTTTTTTTTTTTGTTGCCTACTGACAAGTGAATCCACAATTTACCTTTCTTTGACATACTCAGAATTTGCAAAATAAACGGGAGAACCAAGTTGTATAACAAGAACTCCTGGGAATGTTGAAACATTGTATTGCTCAGTGTCTCTATATAATTCTATTTCAGGTAACTTTCCAAGCTTGCACGGCGCAGGTCTAGCCACATATAACAGTGCTCTAAGAACCCCAAGTCCAACCTTGATGTCACAAATAGAATAATAAAGAGTTAGACAAATTTTGTATCAGTAAAAAAATATTACCACAACAAAAATAAAGTTCGAATTTAAGTTTTATACATTTACCGCAACTTTTATTTATTTTTATAATAATTATCATGACAGTATAAAAATGTTTATATAATGTATAAAAAAAGGGTACTCACAGAAATCATGAGGCCAATATCCATGCTTAGAAAGATGACTCCAAGGAAGGCAGCCATGCAAATAACAAAATCAAACTTGTCAACTTTGTAGAGATGGATAACTTCTTCGTAATGAATGAGTCCAAGCATGGCAGATATAATAATAGCTGAGAGAGCAACAAGAGGGGTGTAGCCAAATAGTGGCGCCAAAAATTGCAGTGTGAGGGCCATCACTATTGCTTGGACCACGTTTGCCATGGCTGTCTTACACCCTGCATTGTAATTCACAGCAGTCTTGGAAAACGGTCCTACAAAATAGATAAGGGACCAAATGTATTATTAGCATATATACACCAATTATTCATATTTGGCATGTTAATGTTAATATGGATATAAGATAGTATCTAATATTATGTTAAGAATTTGTATTTCAAATTAATTCAATAAAATCAACTTATCAAATAAAAATTGTTTCTCTATTTATATATTTTAGATTAAAACCCTTATTTGATCCCTTATAATATTTTTTTGTTTCAATTTAGTCCCACTTTAATTTTTTGTTTCAATTTGATCCCCAATAATTTAAATTATTGCAATTTGGTACTTCCGTCCAAATGATTTAAACGGAGTTAACTGTTGGCCACGTGGATGCCAGGTGGATGTCACGTAAATGGATATCAAATTTCTCTCGAATACACCTGGAACCAGAATGGCTCGTTCTGAAACTAGAACGGGCCGTTCAGGTTACACTATTGGTGTGTAAATTTGGCATCTGGAACGGGACGTTCTGAATCCAGAACGACCCGTTCTAACACCAGAACGGGCCATTTTGGTTTCAGAACGGCCCGTTCCAATTGCAAAACTAACACATATCGTGTGCATGCAACGGGCCGTTCTGGTTTCAGAACGGTCCATTCTGATTCCAAGTGTATTCATTAAATTTGGCGTCCACCTATGCATCTACGTGGCATTCACCTGACATCCACCTGGCCAACAGTTAACTCCGTTTAAATCATTTGGACGGAAGTCTCAAATTGCAATAATTTAAATTATTAGGGACCAAATTAAAACCAAAAATTAAAATGAGACTAAATTGAAACAAAAAATATTATAAGGAACTAAATAAAGGTTTTAACCAATATTTTATTATGATCTTGTATCTAATTCATATGATATTTGAGTTTTTTAAATAAGGATAATATAAAAACTTGGACTAGACATTCTTTATTATTAAATGAATTTTATATAATTTTATTGAAATAATGGATTCACTCTTTTGTTATTTGGCCTAACAAAATTCATTCAATGATCGATATAACATGTATTGAAAAACCAAAATGTTTTTCCTATTATTATAATGGGATATGGTAATTAATTAGAAACATACCACTAGTCAGGTAACATGAAGTAAAAGAGCCGAATAAGTTCATAAGGCCGAAAGCGACCATTTCTTTGTTCCCATCATGAGGTGTATTATCAGTAACAGCAAAGCTTCTTCCTATTGCTATTCCTTCCTAATAAAGAAAAAGCAAAAAAAAAAAAAATGAATAAAATTGATCATAAAATATTATTGAATATGATGATTGGTAGAGATTTTAGTTGCTTACCGCTAATGACAACACGCCTGTGATAAGACCAGCTTGCATAACTGCTGGTAAATATTTACTATTAAAGTTCAAATAGTGGATGGACAAGGGATTTAATCCTTTATCTAGATGCCCCACCTATATATAATCAACTTCATATATAAGAAACAAAAAAAAAAAAAAGAAGACAAAACTGTGGTCTATAAGATACTTAGAAAAACTGAAAAAGATTGACTATATATCTAACTCACAATTTGAATTCCATGATGTTGGCCCTTGACTAGGTATGTGAAAACGCCAGCAACTACTATAGTCACCATTGGAGCTATTGCCGGCACCCAAAAGAGTTTTGGATTCTTATTCCTCTGGAAAATATTACATCAAAAAGGTGAAATTCATTATAATAACTTTGAGACACTGCCATAAAGTCATGATAAAACATACTAAATTTAATTTTTTTAAATAAAGTCTTATCTCATACAGTTGCGAAACTTGTATAAAAAATTTGAAGGTGCTAAATTAATTTTTTATTAATTAAAAAAATAATAAAATTTCTTATTTTCTTTATTTAAATTTTTTAATTTTAATATAATTAATGATATGATAATATACAAATATAATATATATATATATATATATATAAAAGTTTGGGGAACTGTGACTCCTCCGTGACACTATTAAAGTCCGCTTTTAATCTCATATAAATTTTTTTTAAATGGAAAAATTATAGTTAAAATGAAATACTTTACTAAAGATAAATAATTAAGTTTTTAGGTGGTGATTAACTATTAATAAAGTTGATAAATATTTTGTGTTAATAATTAATTAAAAAAAAATAGTACACATGTTAATTTAATTAACAAATAAAAATAATAAGGTGAAGTATGAGGTATGGCTTTTGTCAAATGTTGCCACATTTTCTTTGTCTAACGTGACTTTACTATTAGTATTCGTGCCATAATTATATTCATAGACTGGATTTAGAAATCTTAAAGTCCAACTACAAGGTTGGGTGGCGCACTAAAAGACTTCTCATGCCACTTTTACCTATTCTTTAATTAACAAAATAAATGTATGCAAAAGTGAAAGCTGAGATGAGAATGATCTATCTATAAATGCCAATAGAGGGTACTCACCAGGTGCCGCGTAAATTGCAAGAAAGCAACGAAGATCACGCCAAGAACTGTAGGTTCCCACCTTATCTGTTAGATAATTAAAAAGAAAATATTTACAGAAAGAAATAACAATTTTCTTTTTCTAAAACACGATTTCTCATGATTATGATCTATTTTGATTAAACGAAAGAAACAAGTGAGCATATATATAAGGAATTAAAAGGGAAAAGAATAGATTGAAAGATTGGCCAAGTCTCTGAGATAATATACAAGAGCCACACATATATATAAAAGATGAGAGGATTAAAATATAATCCTTAGATTAATCAAGTGAGAGAAAATTTGGGGTTTAATCAAGTGAGAGAAAATTAATCTAAGAGTTATATTTTAACCCTCTCATCTCTCATAATAAATTCTCTCTCACTTGATATGCTTTATATATATATATAAAATGATGTATCCTATATGATCTGTTGTGCCCAAGTATTACCAGGTTGTTTTGATTTAAATAAAATAGGACAAGTTTATTAGGAAATTTCTGTTTTTTTTTAAGTATTTGTGCCTTAATGATTAAATTTATTACTTATTATTATGTATTATACTTCAATTATAAGTTATTTTTGCCATTATATTTAAACTTTAGTTAAATAAAACAATGTTTTGAATTGTAATTTACCACTAAAAATTATTACTGCAAGTAGTTTAATACTTGTATTATTTAACTAAAATTAAAGTTTAATCTACATGAAATCTTGACATGAAATATTAATTTACTCTTAAATGACCAATCAACTTGGTGGAAAGAATGATCATTAGGAGCAACCTAATAGTTAGGTGATGGAATTAGGGTAGTAGAAGGATTTAGGTTCAATTATTATCACATCTTTGTAATATTTTTGGTGAATAAAAAAAAACCTGATTAAGGAATTATCAATCTTTTTTATAAAAAAAATGTAATTTGCAGGTAAAGTTATACTATTTCTAAGGTCTTTGTAGCCATATATAGACAACAGTTACGGCCTTATTAGTTAGGACCTAATTTCCAGCAATTAATTTGAGTGCAAAGAAACCGCAACCTCACTTTAAAAGCCAGTAGTGGAGATAAAATATATATTAATTAACCAATACTTATTGAAAATACAGTACCCTTACATAAATAATGGTCACGTGTGGGTGAGTGAGATTGTGAAACTTGGTGCTATTCAAAGAGGCCAAATTTGAGTTGAAACATCATTATCATTGTTGGGAAACTATCCTTATATGTAATAATTTTATTTTGTATGGCAACCTTTTACTATTTTGATCAGCCAAGCCAAAAAAACAAAAAGGGTCACTAATTTGTTCCATACTAACCTCATGTCTATTGGTCACGATGCCCTTCACCACTGCCACCAAGTTCGTTTTGGATGAGAAATGTTTCATGCCAAATATGCCCTTCAGTTGTTGGAGGATCAGAATTACTGCTGTTCCTCCCATGAAGCCATTGATGGTAGAATGCGAAAAGAAATCCACCAATATCCCCAACCTGCAATGCGTTTTCTCATTCTCATCATCCACCACAAAAAAAAATGTATAATTTGCATCAAGTTTTAGTTACATGTCTCAAATCATTCATTTTTTTAAATGACCGATCTTTACATATAATTGAAATTTTCAATTTATTAAAACTATTAGTAAAGTTCAATTACATGTCACGAAAATTAGCTGGAATCGTGTATTATAGTTTTTCGAGTAAAGACACACGTATAATAATTTGTACAATATATATTGTATTTATCTCTGTGCGCATTATATCATCTATTACGTACTCATATTTTCTATCTCTCGCTGGGTGTGTTGAATAGCATCTAGTGTGTGTAGAAGTCATTTTGATATTGTATAGCATGCTACATACTTTTCTTAGTTAGTTTTATTTTGCTATTTTGGTGCCAAACACATCCCTGACCGGGTCATTCTACATGGCCACATCAAAGAGTGGTTTGCGGAAAATGATTAGTTTTACCAAAAAATGTTATTTCAAGTGGTTTGTTATGTTTTTCAATTAAGGATAAGGATTTGATTTGTGATTTAAACGCGAAGTCACAAAAATAGCAATCTATTTTTATAGGAGACTTATTGTGAGAAAAAGTTATACATGTTATATATATATATATAAAATATAAAAAAATGACTAGTCCTCTTTTTCAAAATCATTACCTGAAAATACCCAAACAAGCCTGGAAAACCCCGGTGATAAAGGTGGTGGTGAAAATCAAATGAAGATACAACGTTGGGTCTTCAACTGGGTCTGCCACCGTTTGTATGGTTTGACCAATGAGCAACGATGCTGCTGCTATCGTCCCCACTGCCATGTGCCTTGAACTCCCAAAAACAGCATATACTAGAGGTGGGACAAAGCTCGAATCTGATCATATGACATCACAACGTCAAATCAAAACCCGTGTTCTTAAATCTTTATCACTTGATCGAAAAAAGGTAACCTTAAAAAGTCGAATAGCAGGTTACTCCTTATATAATCACAAGGAAAAACTGTCAAGGGCAATGAAATTACGTAACTGTCTACGCACCTACCCAGATAATCAATAAATTTAATTAATCCATGAGATATTCTAATTAACCGATGATCAAAATCTATTGATCATGATTTGCAAATCATATATAGATGCCCATTATAACTTTTCTTTTGTTTTTAAAAATCTCCTCAATTCAATCCATGCACCATGTGTCACAAATTCAAGAAAATGAAGAAAAGCAATGGTTTAATGATTGTTTGTGTTTGGATACGTTACAAAAGCAAGAAAAAACCATGACTAATAACTTCTCAATGAATACAAACATGGAAAAAATCGTAACTAAACATGCTGATGAAATGTAAAGCATCATGCCAAACAATTGTTGTTAACTTGTATTGCAATGAATAAGAAAATATAAGAAAAAGTTACTAGTGTTTACTTAGTGGTAATGTGTGAGACTAAAATTTTGATATTCATTGTCTTCATTGTAATCTTCTAATACCAACAAAAAACAAAAAGGGATAAAGGGAAATTAGAATCTTACAAAGGCCAATGAGAGGAGGAAGGTCTGCAAGTTTGGCATAGCTAATGCCTTGAGGGATGGCAAGGCTTGAGATGGTTAAACCAGCGATCAAGTCGGAGCAAAAGAGGCGCCAATTGTAAGTTGGGAGCCACTCAAAGATAGGGATGAAGTACTGCACCCCTTTCATCACCCTCCTCGATGTCTTCTCCTCGTTCTTGAACTGTCTAAAGGGGTCGTCAGGAAACAACGCTTCCTTCAACCCCGTCTTTAGTTTCGTCCCAAATGTTCTTTGGGACGAAAAATTTACCCCATGATAATGATCTTTGTTGTCATTATCATGGTGGTGATTGTGAACCTCGGCGTTACCTATGGAACCCATAGTAACAACGACACAAGACTCGGGTGTGTATGTATGTGCAGAATATGAACAAAAGAGAAGCAGAGAGTATATGTGCAAAGGAACAAAACAAGTTGTGAAGGTGTTTGATGTGTGAGACGCGTGGTGGAAATGAGAGTATATATAGGCCTTTAGTAGTGGCAACTATTTCGCTTATGTGGAAGGTGTGGTCGACACAACAGTGAATTATATCTTACAAGACTCAACGCACCGTTGTTTTTTTCTTCTTTTTTTTATTTATTTTTCTTTTTTCTAAGGATAATTGGGAGAATTTCAAGGGTTTTGGATCTGACTTTTACGCTGTTTCTTGCACAACCAAAGTTATAGCGCAGACTAGAGTTCAGCAATGTGCTGTCTGTTCTGTAAACCTTGCCATGAATTCTGAACCTCCGGTGTTTCTTATATATCCTTCTTCTGTGTTAACTGTTAAGATATTTTATCCGAACAAGCAATATGATAACAATAACAAAAATTTGTTGCATCTACGTCTATTATAAGATATTTTATATATTTTATCTGCTGGAAGGGATAAAATCCGTTAAATTTTAATTTTGTAAAATATGTTTGATGTATTATTTATTATAGTTTTTTTAAAAATTAGGTTTATCTTATTAACCTATTTAAATTTCTTTTTTATATTATTGATAGGAATACCTTTCAACTTTACAAAAGATTAATCTTTCTCGAAATCTTGAATCATTAAAATAAAGGAGTGCTTGGTAGAAGAGAAGTTTTTATTAGTTTTCTGAAAATTTTAGATAGATAATATTAATTTTCATGTCTGGTATCTAGTTTTTTAAAAAATTCCATAAAATATTATTTTTTGAGAATTATTTTTATCTCACTTTTTTTATAAATATTTTCACGAAAGGGTTGAGAATCTAACTTTTTCACCTAAAAGAGAAAGTTTTAATTATATAAAAGATTACAATATCTTTTATTTTTCTTTGTCCTTTTCTTTGTCCTTTTCTTTCTCGTTGTCTCTCATTCTCACCCGTCTCACTCTCCCTCTCCTTCTCTCTCTCCCTTTCCCCTTTCTTATTATTTCTTGATCTTCATGGAGAGCATTTTTAGGAGCTTTTCTTTTATGAGGAATTTTTTAGGAATTTCATAACTTCTTATCCAATTTAATTTTTATTTTTCATAATTATTTATAAATTAAAATTTAATATTTTTAAAATAAATTATCAATAAATAAAAATAATATTCTACTCTAATATAAATTATTTATCATAAATCTAAAAGATAGTTTATATGTTTTAAATATCTATTTATACAAATTTTAAATATTATATATTCAAACATAATATTATTTATATATAATATATTATAAATTTTAGTTATATATAATAAATATTTAACTTATACATTATATACATGCTAAAATACTAGTATTATTAAAATTTATTTTGTTTCTACAGTTTAATGGTATATGAAAACATTTTTTTTATTTTTTTTATGAAATAAAACAATATATTTTTATCCTTCTTAACTATAAGGTAGTATTTTTTTTTGTTTATTTATTTTGTTAAATTTTGTATTTAAATAATTTTAACTATAAGTTTTGAACTTTTTAAAATAGTTTAATTTTTATCAAACACAAATATTATTATATAAAAATTTGTTTATATATGTAATTACTTTTTTATTATCTTCAAAAAATAATTAGATCATAAAACAAGTTTAATATCATATCAGTAATAATATTTAAATAAATAAATATATCTAATGAGGTTATTTTAATAAAATATATTTTTATAAAATAATATTTATATATCCTTAAATATACTATTGTAACCAAATATAATAAATTTTAATTCTCATAAATCCTTTATAAATACTATGGGAAAAGATGTACTTTGTGCCTCTAAGTATTTTCAAAAATAAAATAAACAAAAAAAATATAACCGTGTGAGTGATTATTCAAAATTGGTCAATGGTGGTTACTAAAATAATTTTTTGTAAATAATTAAGGGTATAATCACTCACAAATTGTGGAGACAAAAAAAGTTATGGGAAGAAATATTTTCTTTATATATTAGTATAGAATCTTAAGAATATTTATAAGTAACCAGATAAATTTTAGCTATTATCAAGAACCCTGATTCACAAGATTTGTAATTCCAAGGAAGGCTTAAATAAATTTTTAGTCCCTATAAAATTAATTATTTTAATTTTGGTCCTTATAAAATTTTTTCTTCATTTTTCATCCTTTTAAAATTTATAAACATTGTGTTTATTTGTAAAATAAGTAAATTTTGATTTCGATCCCTATAAAATATTTTTCTTTAATTTTTATCCCTCTAAAATTTAAACTAACTATTTTTAATCCATAGTGATCATTTAAGGTGGATGAATAACATTTATTTTAAAAAATATAAATTTTTTAGAGGTGTTAAATATTAATATAATATCAGCAATGGTTGTAGGTAACATTTAAGATGGTTACTTAACTTTATAAATAAAAAGTAGTTAAAAATAATTACATAAAAATAGGAAGTAAAAACAACCATTTTAATTTTATAAGGATGAGAAACATAGAAAAAAATTTATAAGGATTAAAATCAAAACTTGCTAATTTTTTAGGGACAAAAACATATTTAAGTCTTCCAAAGAATTATAATTCTCGAGTATTAAAAAAATATTCCCCTATTAAACGCCTCCCTAAGGCTATCCCTCCTAACATTATTTTTTTTTATCAAACTTAAGAGTCGACACTAGTTGAATGAATGAACATTGTATTTAAAATCTTATTTACATTAACAGTGTTAATTAGGCCAATAAACTTAATTTTAAGAAAGTCAATAAATTTATTTTTAAATATTTTGCTGTGAGTTATGTAACGTCTAATAGTATAAATATTAATCCTAATATTATACATGTATATATATATATATATATAATATTTATAGATTGAAAACACATGTATATTATTAATAATGTTATACATAATAACAAACTAAAAATATTTACCACTACGTGCGTAGTTACTAACTTTTTTACATATATATTACATTATTTACATATTAGATTGATACTTAATTATAACTTCTTATATTTCATATATGATTTTAATTTTTACATTACATATTATTCTAAAAATATTTACAATACGTACATATTTACATACCATAGTTTCTTTTCTATTATAAAATTTACAATAGGATTCACATGATTTGCAGGAGGTAAATAAAAAGTAACAACTATGGGTCCATCTATCACAGTTGAAATTTCTTGGTTTGGAGAAAAGGTGAACAAAGACACAACTGCTCCATTGAAAGTAACTGAGTTGGCTAGAACGTCAACACCCCATGTTGTACCAGAAAAAACTACAAAAATTACTGAAGGGAAAGGAGCTGGAATTGCTGGAATGTCCATCTATATTTATTTATTTATTTTTATAAATTAATTACATATATTACACAAGAAACATAAGGAGTGAGAACAATTATCCAATAAATATTAACAATGACATAAAATGCATAGAAATATTTAATATTAATAGTTATATATTAATTTTTCTTGATATAAAAAAAATGAAAATTTAAATTATACTTGTAGTGACTAGTCAGAATAAATGAGCATTATAATAACAAATAACTAAAGGTTATTTCACCTTAAATCTTTACTCATTTAAATCCCAAAGGTAAACCTCAAACTACAAATTAATTGAAACTTCCATTCTTATGACCATAGAATAATATTTATCTTTATAAATACATGAAGAAATAACAACAAGACGAGTCAAAGATATTTTAACAAAACTATATTATAGTTAATCATAAAAACAATTAAATAACACAAACTAGGAACACCTCATTAATTATTATGAGTAAAAATTATCATAGATTAAGTAAATAAATGAGGTTAGAGATACGTCACTAAGTAAATACATATAAAAAATAACATAATCAAATAAACATAATAACATAAAATTTTAAAAAGATAAAGTTCTCCTCCCCTTTATTGTTTTTATTTTTTTCTTTCTCTCACTTTTCTTTTTCTTTAAAAGTTCCCAGTTCCTGTTGAATTATCTCCAACATGAATTCGTTGATAAGATTATAAAATTTATTTAATTTCCATTATTTAAAATATATATATTGAGTCATGGCATGACTTGAACCTATAACTTGTAACTTATGATTCTTATGAATCATAGAACAAACCACTAAACCATTTCATTTTATATGTATATTTATTATATAAATTATAATATATCTAATTTGCTTCACATGTAATTATAATAACTAAAATGTTATAATTATTTATAATATAATAGAACATTATACATACATACACACACATATATACATATATATATATATATATATATATATATATATATATATATCTTTTTTCTATTTTAATTTGTTGGAAATAAAAGAAATTATAATATATCAAAAATACACATATGTATTTATCTATTAATTTTAAATATGGTAATAAAAAATTTTAAAAATATAATTTTAAGAATAAGACAATGATAAGAAAATTTATAATATTGTATTAAGAATTTCATAATATTACAAGTTATTTTTTAATTTACGTAATAAAAAATTGTTTACTCATTATAATTAAAAATTAAATTTTAAGATAAATATATACATTACCAGAAAGAGAGAAAAAATAAATTATTTTCTATTAAAGGAATAATTCATGCACACCCATATATATTTTACAAAAAGGATAATCTTATAATAAAAAAAACTTTATAAATATTTTTATATCTCATTTGGTATTTCAAAATAACCAACTCCTATTTTAACAAGCTAGAATAATTATGCTAACAAACTAAAAAAAATTACTCATTATATTATACATTACATGAGGTGATGATATCATAGGTATATGTACAATGTCACAAAGTGAGAATAGAAGGAAGCATTCTTTCTTGTGTAACACTCCAGTTTTTATACATTTTATGGAGGGTAATTTAGTAATTTTAATAAGATTTGTTGAAGTGATTTAGTAGCCCAGAACGGGCCATTTCCAAATTGGAACGGGCCATTCTAAACTACTAAAAAGACCTAATTTTAGTAGCCTAGAACGGGCCGTTCCAAACCACCAAAATGACCTATAACCCTAGTTGGGAACGGGCCGTTCCAAAGTTGAGAACGGGCCATTCCAAATATGGACGCTCCAGAACGGGCCGTTCTGGTTTGAGAACGGGCTGTTCCAGATGTGAATTTTCTGCAAGATGAAAGGATCCAGAACAGACCATTCCGGATCTGAAACGGGCCGTTCTGGCCACTCCTGAAATCTATAAATAGAGCACTCTGACACTGTTTCTAGACACACTCTCTAGAGACCAAGGAGAATCAAGAAAAGGAGATCAACCAGATTCTGCTCTAGCTTCGTCTTCTGCTTATCCAGGTAAG